TGTCTCACTAAAGAAGGAGGGTGCCAGAAGGGAAAAACATTTTTAAGTGAAGCCAATAGACCATAATGTTTTACTAACACAATCATAAGTCCAACCCACTGAGTCTCATATTTCAGGAGACAGTGATGCAGTTGACTTCTATAATGAGGCCTATACTGTGTGAGTAAGCACTTAGGTAAACAGGGGCATAGGCATATATTCTATAAAACAGAAGAACATAAAGCATAAAGGTTACTGTATACATTAAACTATAAACCAGTAGAGATTTCCCTATGTAAAGACTTCTGCTGGAATGAAATCATACAATGTCAATCTGTCTTATTGTCTGTAGTTAGAACATTCTGATGGTCATTAGGTGCTGAGGCATGTATGGCACACACAGACATAACCTTAAAACAAAACTTTGAAGACAGTTAACTACACTGGAGTTCAATGCCTATGACTGGGTATTGTGGTTTTTCATTCAGACATACATTAGGGCCTTGTTTATTGTGGTTAATCAGTTCCAGAGTTTATTGTGATAAATGAATTTCTGCAAAGTAGGATTCTTTATTTATATACAGTCATCCCTCACCACTTCGCACTTTGACTTTTGCGGCTTCACTCTATCGCAATTTTTTCAAATATGGTACAGTATAGTATAAACGTGAAGTTTGAAAAAACCGTGAGAGTGAAGCCACAAAAGTCAAAGCATGAAGTGGCGTGAGACAACTGTAATTGTTCTCTCCCTAAGCATACCCTCCTGTTTAAGAGACTGTGTTAAATCTAGTTCTAGTCTGGCTTGGCTATTTGCATAAACACAAGAATATTAATAGATCAAATTGATCACACAGGCTTTCTCCAATTTTACTTTGCTGGAATGTTACTCATTCATAAGGAATCTTTAGATTGAGCTCTGGTGAGCAGTCAAGAGTCAGCCCCCAGCCCCCAGGGCAGAGAAGCTAAAGCTACAATTGCCATCAGGTGGTGCCTGGAATACCTGCAGATTTGGGCTGTGTCCTCAAATTCTTGAGGTTCCCAAAATGTTGAAGTTTTTTTTTTTTTCTGCCATTTTTTAAGAAAGCAACTTCATTCCTTACCTGGAAAGATTGCCATGAACTACTGACCAAACAAGTTACCAGACCATTTCACGCAAGTGACTTCTAATCAGTTTAAGCAGTCTTGAGAGTCCATCTCAATTCCTTAAGGCTTTTTGGTGACATCCAGAATCCAGGCATGTCTCTCTTGATGATGACATTCCAGTCAAAGACTTGGTTAATAAAAATACAATTGGAAACTGGCTTTATGGGTCCTATTATAAAGAAATAAGATTCCTATTGGATTCATGCAAGTAAATGTATTGCCATGAAAGTAATAATACTCACTCATTAAGTGCTTCCAAATTATCTGGAGGGATCAGGTAGGGATAAAAATATAAATGTTTCAATATTGCTTATGAAAGTACAATGTACTAAATTGCTTTAAGAAACAAGTTTCCTTATGTCTCAAAAATAAAAAGATAAAAAATTAGCAATACCAAAAAAAAATTACAAAAACTATAATTATTTTCAGTTCATTCAGTCCCCTAATCAAATTCTGTTTCTCCTGATTTGTCTTGCCATGATATCAGGTAGTCCCTCATGTTCTCAGATTAGGAGAATTGACAGCATTTCTGAAATAAACTCCTGTGGCATACACCTCCCAACCAGGTCAGAGTGGGCTTTTCTTTGATCAGAACAAAGCAATCATTATTAACACTGCAAAGGATGATTAGCATTTCTTATAAATATGGCTAGTATCCCACTATGGTTAGTTTTCTATTCTATTATTCTCTCCCATTCTTTTCAACAGGTTCTACTTTATACTGGAACAAAGTAATCATCAATACCAAAAACAAAACTACCCATTGCAATTTGTTTTCCTCTGTACTCAGTGATTCCAAAAATAGCATTTGCTTGAGTCTAAAATGGCCTCAAGTCCCTGGATATTGCTGACTGGTGCTCACAGAATTACTCTCTCATACTCTGGAGTTACTTTGGCTATTAAGGCATTTTGAGTTGTCACAGGCTTCCAGATGAATTATGAGAAATTGGCAGAGGGCCAAACAAACAAGACAAGTGTAGCTGATTGGATATATTTTGTCTGAGGAGCACTGAAGAAACACCATACAGACTGGGAAGAAAGGGAGAGTCATGTAAAGGGTGAGCCCCACTGGAGCTTGTGCTTGGCTGAGAGGCCAGAGTAATATTGGCTGTAAAGCTCCCTCCCCAAGGGAATATGAGTTTGCATTCATATGCAGGGATCCCAAACCCTGAAAAGCAAAGGAGAGTCAATGGAACATTGAACAGAGGGATCCAGGGGAACTCATTTTTGCCTGGGAGGATGAGTCCATACCTTCTCAATGAAAGAGCAGGCCCAATGGTGGCAGCCCCAGTGGAAGAGATTCACCCTGGGATCTGATGGTTGGAAAGGCTGTGCTTTGGTCTGTGGCCCCAGAATAGAAAGGGGCTTGAAGTCTGCACCCAACAATAACTTAAAGGGATCCTCTGCTTTCCTGAAAGGCATTGTACAGAGCATCAGATAGGAACTGGGCTGTGTGTTGTGGAAAAGGGGCAGAGGACTCTTCCATCTCCAGAGCAGATTTGGGATCCCTCCTCTTGCCTGTGGAGCACACAGGCTGCTCTGTCCTTCGGTGCTGGTGGCAGGGTAGTTTGGGGATTTGGGGTCTGCACTGAGAAGAGTTTGGAGTGCAAGCAGAGCTGGGACCCTTGGCCTAGCTTTACTGAGACCAGCTGCGAGGAGAGAGTAAAATCCTGCATGGGGCTGACTTTGTAACCCCTTCTGTTTGGACCTGTGGTGTGGGTCACCAGGTCCTTGCAAAGCAGTTTTTTGTTTTTATTTTTGGAGGCATCTCAAGGCATCCCCCAGAAAGGCTGATACTGGGGAGACAGAGCTGGGCTTTGTGATTGCATTGTGGGGAGGCTGATCCAGGCACCCTGTGAGTTTAGTCCTGGGAAGGAGGGGTCAAGCATGTCTAGTCCTTCTGAAATCTGGGAACACCAACCACAATAGGAAAAGGTGTGGATCAGCTCACTGAAGCCCTGGATACCCTCACTGGGTGCAGTTTGGTGTGTGTGGGGAGAACAGTTCAGAGGAGGACATTCCAAGAGTAAGATCTTCAGAAGCTATTGTCTGGCTCCAGGAGAAAATGCTTAGATCACTTCCCATGGAATGGCAGGCAACATGTTAACCAGAGACTCTTTTTATCAATTCCACTGAGTCCAGGGCAGCTGAAACTTCTACTGCAGAAAAGGCAGCATGTATCCAACCTGAATCTGCACCAGGCCACCTTAGGGAGAACTAGTGTTGAAAGATAAGGTAGAGACTGAGGAGTTTGGCTTTGCAGCAGAGATTAACTTCTCATTGAGAGCCTGGCTGTGAAATCTTTAAGGAGGCAGCGCACTAGTCCTAGCTACACTAGCTCCACCCTAAAAACTGTCTTTGGAAGACACTGGAGAAAGACCCGGCAACCTCAGGATGGAGGCAGAATAGCTGACAGGTGAAGGTAATCCTCAGAGAACCTCAGACTGACCACAGCTCAGCTACAACAGGATAACAAGATCCAAATTTGGACAGCTTCTGACATTGGTTGAAACAAAGTTCCTCCAAGGAGGCCTAAAATTATTATACAAAACAGTGAGCCTCACCCTGGCTGGTCTGACTCAGTCATTAGAGCATCAGCCTGTGTACCAAAGGGTCATGAGTTTGATTTTGTTCAGGGGCATGTACCTTGGTTGTGGTTTGATCCCCAGCCCTGGTTGGGGTCATGCAGGAGGCAACCAATCAATGTGTTTATCCCATATTGACGGTTTTCTCTTTCTCCCTCCCTCACACTCTATCTGAAAATCAATGAAAAAGTGTCCTTGACTAAGGATTAAAAAACAAACAAACAAACAAAAACAGTGATCCTCAGACAACATAAGCTTTCCAGACAAACTTCATTTAGCTGGCTTTAAAAACAATTTCTTTTTTATTTGGTTTTGTTCTCTTCAATATTTTCTGCTTAATTGCTTTGATATTATTATTATTAAGATTTTTGTTCTTTTCTCTCTTGTTTTATTCATATCTATTATCAGCCTTTTTACTTTTCTGACTCTTCTTTCCCATTCTTTTTTTTTTTTTGCTTTACCTTTCTCTCTCTTTTGTTCACCTTTACATAATTTGTTTTCCTTTCCCTGTCTCATTTATATTTTTTTTATCAGTTTTCTTTTTCTAATCTCTATTTTTACCTTTTGCTTTCTTTATTTTTCTCTCAGAATATTTTTAATTTTACTATTATTTAAAATTTTACTATTAGCAATATTACCTTTTCTCTCTTTTTTGTCTTTAATTTATGTTCTCTTTTCTCTTTCCTTTTGTGGTTGTTTTTGCTGTTGGTGGGATCTTTTCTATGTTCCTGTTTGTTTGGTTTTATTTTGTTTTGCCCTGTCAGCATCTGTACAACAGCTCACATGATGTGGTAGTGGCTGAACCTTATAGTTAGCCAGCCTAAGAGGAGAGCCCATCCACAAATGGGAAAACAACAATCAAGACCCAACTACAACAGGAAAGCCCAAATAATCTACAAAAGGTCATGACTAGAGCATACAGCTCAATAGTACAAGAAAGCCACACACTGGTTCCCACAGGGCATTTACTGAAAAAGCCCACCCCGCAAAGACTGGGAGTTGCAACAAGTATATCTAATATATACATACAAAGACAAAGGAACAACTAAAATGGGGAGACAAAAAAAAAAACACTCCCCAAATTAAATAAAAAGAGGCATTACCAGAAAAAGACGATGGAGGTAAGCAAGTCATCAGACATAGAGTTCAGAATAATGGTTATAAAGATGCTCAAGGAACTTACTGAAAATTACAAAGTCTTCTGGTTCACTTCTACCTGCCCTGCCCGAGCACCAGACCAGTAGCTCTCTGCTCTTTAACCAGATCCTCCTCATTGAGTTGAAACTTGGGGACCATAAAGATGCCGGCTTACCACTCTTCTCTCATGGACTTGGACACCAAACTCATTGGAAACATGACACTGTTGCCCATCAGAAGTCAGTTCAAAGGACCTGCCCCTAGAGAGACAAAAGATACAGATATTGTGGATGAAGCCATCTATTACTTCAAGGCCAATGTCTTCTTCAAAAACTATGAAATTAAGAATGAAGCTGATAGAACCTTGATATACATAACTCTCTATATTTCCGAGTGTCTAAAGAAACTCCAAAAGTGTAATTCCAAAAGCCAAGGCGAGAAAGAAATGTATACTCTGGGAATCACTAATTTTCCCATTCCTGGAGAGCCTGGTTTTCCACTTAATGCAATTTATGCCAAACCTGCAAACAAACAGGAAGACAAAGTGATGATGGCCTATTTACAGCAGCTAAGGCAAGAAACTGGACTGAGACTTTGTGAGAAAGTTTTTGACCCTCAGAATGATAAACCCAGCAAGTGGTGGACTTGCTTTGTGAAGAGGCAGTTCATGAACAAGAGTCTTTCAGGACCAGGACAATAGGGAGAACTGGGCAGACACTGTTTTCACAGACATTGGCAGCATTTTACAGCAAGATGTACACAGTTCTTTGTCTTTAATTCATAAAGTTTTATACAGAAAAGAGAAGAGAATGTGTTTTTACTTGAAAAGTTCATTATCAAGAATTTGTGAGGGGGAGAATGAATTGTCAAAGGGTGATTTAAAATTTTCTGCATTATTAAACTGGTGCTTAATAAATAATAATAAATTTCTAACAGTTAAAAAAAAAAAAAAAGAAAACTACAAGAAATGTAATGGGAACTACAAGCAATTTAGTGGGACCTGCAAGAAGCTTAGTTACATCAGCATAAAACATATAGAAATTATGAATAAAAATGAGGCAGAAATAAAGAATATCTGATATCAAGAATACCCTGGAAGGAATTAAAAGCAGGTTCAATGAAGCAGAGAATTAAATAGTGAATTAGAAGACAAGGTAGAAAAAAAACAGTGAGAGCAGCAAGAAGAAAAAATACTTAAAAAGCATGATGACTGTATAAGGAAACTTTGGGAGACTACAAATTGAAACAACATCTGCATCATAAGAATACAACAAGGAGAAGAAAGAGATCAAGAGACAGAGAACATGTTTGAAGAAATAATGACAGAAAACTTCCTTAAGCTGGTGAAGGAAAAAGCTACACAATTTCAGGAAGCACAGAGTGTACCAATCAAAATGAACCCAAAGAGACCCACTTCAAGACACATCATAATTAAAATGGCAAATGTTAAAGACACAGAGGGAATCTTAAGGACAGCAAGAGAGAGATAGATAGTCAGTGACCTACAAGGTAGTGCACATAAGGCTGTCAGCTGAATTCTCAACAGAAACACTACAGGCCAGAAAAGAATAGTATAAAATGTTTAAATTAATGAAAAGCAAGGATGTAAAACCAAGACTACTCTATCCAGCAAGGCTATCATTCAAAATTGAAGGTGAAATAAAGAACTTCTCAGACAAAAGAAAAGAAGGCCAAAGGAGTTTATTGCCTTCAGTGCAAGATTTGTAAAACAACAGACTGCTAGAAGAAGAAGAAGGGGGAGAGAGGGGAAGAAGAAATATAGAGAGAGGAACAAAGAAATAAGAATAAAAATGGCAATAAATGAGTACCTAGCAATAATAACTTTTAATGCAAATGAATTAAATTCTTTAATCAAAAGGCATAGGGTAGTAGAAAGGATAAGAAAATGTGACCCATATATATGCTGTCTACAAGAGACTGACTTCAAAACAAAATTCCAACAGGATGAAAGTGAAGGGCTGAAAAAAAATTTTTCCATGCAGATAAAAACAAAACAACAAAAAAAGCAAGGTTAGCAATACTTCATACAAAATAAATTTCAAGCAAAGGCCATAACAGGAGACAAAGAGGGCCACCACATAACACTAAAAACATCACTACAACAAGAGGATATTATCCTGGTAAACATATATGCATCTAAATATATAAAAAAAATCTCTTAGAGGAATTTAAGGGAAATATTGACAGCATACAGTCATAGTAGGGGACTTTAACACCACACTGACATCTCTGGATAAATCTTCTAGACAAAAGATATAAAAATGGCAATAAATGGTTATAAACAAGGAAATGGCTACCTTATATGACACACCAGATTAGATTAATTCAATTGACATTTACAGAACATTTTACCCCAAAGATACAGAATATACATTCTTTTCAAGTGCACACAGGACATTCTCAAAGATATACAACATGTTAGGACACAAATTAAGTCTCTACAAGTTCAAAAACATTGAAATCATATTAACACCTTCTCAGATCACTGTGGCATAAAACTAGAAATCAGCTATAATAAAAACACTTAAAATCATTCAGACACATGGAGACTAAATGACATATTATTAAACAATGAATGGCTTATCAATAAAATTAAGGAAGAAATAAAGAACTTTCTGGAAACAAATGAAAATGAACACACAACAACCCTAAATCTGTGGGACACAGTGAAAGAAGTTCTGAAAGGGAAGTTCATAGCATTATAGGCCTAATTCAAGAAACAAGGAAAATTTCTAATAAACTATCTAACCCTACAACTAAAAGAATTAGAAAAAGAACAGCAAGTAAAGCCCAGAGTAAGTAAAAGGAAAAAAATGATAAAGATCAGAGTAAAAATAAATAACATACAGTCTAAAAAAATAAAACAAAGATCAATGAAACCAAGAGCTGGTTCTTTGAAAAGATAAACGAGACTGATGAACCTTTAACCAGACTCATCAAGAAACAAAGAGAGAGGACCCAAAATAATTAATATCAGAAAAGATAAAGATGAAAGTAACAACTGATACCACAGAAATACAAAGGATTTTAAAATACTATGAACAATTGTATGCCAACAAATTGGAAAATGTAGGCAAAATGGACAAATTCATAGAATCACACAATCTTTCAAATCTCAACCAGGAAGAGTAAAAAAACCTGAACAGACCAATAACAACTGAGGGAATTGAAGTAGTAATAAACTCCCAACTACTAAAACTACAGGAGGTTATAAAAAGAGACAGAGGAAAATATAAACAATGAATTAACATTATTAATATGTTAACAAAGAGAGCAGATCCAAATAAGTAAAATCAGAAATGAAAGAGGTGAAGTAAAAATTGACACCACAGAAATACAAAGGATTGTAAGAAAATACTATGAACAATTGTATACTAACAAACTGGACAACCTGGGAGAAATGGACAAATTTCTACAAAAATACAATCTTCCAAAACTCAATTAGGAAAAATCAGAAAACCTGAATTGACCAATAACTAATGAAATAAAAGCAGTAAAAAAAAACAAAACAAAAAACGAAAAAAAAACCTCTCAGCAAACCAAAGTCCTGGACCAGATGGCTTTACAGGGGAATTTTACCAAACATTCAAAGAAGAACTAACACCTATCTTCCTCAAACTACCCAAAAATTTCAAGAGAAAGAAAGACTTCCAAGGTCTCTTTACAAGGTCAGAATTATCTTAATTTCAAAACCAGATAAAGACACTACAAAGAAAGAAAATTATAGGCCAATATCCCTGATGAACATAGATGCTAAAATTCTCAAGAAAATATTACCAAATAGGACCCCACAGTACATTTGAAAGATCATATACTATGACCAAGTGGGGTTTATTCTGGGGATGCAAGGCTGGTACAATATTTGCAAATCAATAAATGTGATATATCATATTTAAAAAATAACAGATAAAAATCACATGATTATATCAATAGATGCAGTAAAAGTATTCAACAAAATTCAGCACCATTTTTAATAAAAACTCTCAGCATAGTCAGAATAAACGGATCATACCTCAACATAATAAAGGCCACATATGACAAAATTTCAGCCAACATCATACTCAATGGGTAAAAATTAAAGTGTTTTCCTTGAGAATAGGAGCAAGAAAGAGATGTCTATTTTCACCACTCTTTTTTTTTTTTTAATTAATTTTTTTTTTTATTTTTTGGTTACAGATATTTTACCTTTTTTACCCCATTGGCACCCCCTTCCCCACCCCACCCCACCCCTGCCTCATCCCTGGCTTAGTTGTCCATGTCCATTGGTCATGCATACATGCATACAAGTTCTGTGGTTTATCTCTTTCCACCTCCCCCACCCCCTCTTCTGAGGGATGTCAGTCTGTGCCCTACTTCCATGTTTCTGCATCTACTGTTTTCCTCAGACTGTTATGTTCATTATATTCCGTATATGAGTGAGATTATGTGGTATTTGTCTTTTTCCGCTTGGCTTCTTTTGCTTAGGATAATACTTTCCAGGTCCCTCCATGTCATCTCAAAGGATAAGAGATCTTTCTTTCTTACAGCAGCATAGTACTCCATTGTGTATCATGTACCACAGTTTTTTTATCCATTCGTCTACTGATGGACACTTGGACTGTTTCCAGATCTGAGCTATTGTAAATAGTGCTGCTATGAACATGGGGGTACATATATTCTTCCTGATTGGTGTTTCAGGCTTGTTAGGGTATATTCTTAGAAGTGGAATCACTGGGTCAAATGGAAGTTCAATTTTTAATTTTTTGAGGTAACACCATATTGTTTTCCACAGCGGCTGCACCAGTCTGCATTCCCACCAGCAGTGTATTAGAGTCCCCTTTTCTGCACACCCTCGCCAACACTTGTTGTTTGATGATTTGTTGATGGTGGCCATTCTGACAGGTGTGAGGTGATACCTCATTGTTGTTTTAATTTGCATCTCTCTGATGATTTGTGAAGTTGAGCATTTCTTCATATGTGTCTTAGCCATTTGTATGTCTTGTTTGCAGAGGTGTCTATTTAGTTCCTCTGCCCATTTTTTAATTGAGTTCTTTGTCATCCTTTTGTTGTGTTGTATGAGCACTCTATATATATTGGAAATTAACCTCTTATCTGATATATCATTGGCAATTATGCTCTCCCATACAGTGGGTTGCCTTTCCATTTTGATGATTGTATCTTTTGCTGTGCACAAACTTTTGAATTTGATGTAGTCCCATGTGTTCATTTTCTCCTTTGTTTCCGTTGCCTTAGCTGATGTATCAGTAAAAATTCTGCTGCATATGATGTCGGAAATTTTGTTGCCTACAGTTTCTTATAGAATTTTTATGATTCATGAGTCACATTTAAGTCTTTTATCCATTTTGAGTTTATTCTTGTGTTGGGTGTAAGTTTATGGTCTAGTTTATTTATTTATTTATTTTTGCATGAAGCTGTCCAATTTTCCCCACACCATTTAGTAACAAGGCTGTCTTTACTCCACTGTATGCTCTTGCCACTTTTGTCAAATATTAATTGAGCATATTGTCTTGGGTCCATTTCTGGGTTCTCTGTTCTGTTTCACTGGTCTATATGCCTGTTTATATGCCAGTACCAGGCTGTTTTGATTACAGTGGCTTTGTAGTATAACCTAAATCTGGTAATGTGATCCCTCCTACTTTGTTCTTCTTTTTCAAGAATGCTGTGGCTATTCAAGGTCCTTTTGGTTCCATATGAATTTTGAAGTTTTTGTTCTAGTTCTGTGAAG